TATTGCAAAACCGGTTTATTTTTATTTTATCCAATAAATAAAATTTTTAAGGAAAAATGGGTGTTAAAGAGGTGATATTTGATAAAAAATGATACTTTAGAATACCAGTGGATTACAGTTAAAACACAATCACAGATTTGGTATTTTAAATAATGAAGAATCGGTTCTGTTTGGATTACATATTTTTCAGGGTATTTTTTAAAAATAGCACTGTAGTCCTTCAAACGTGAAATACAAGTACTGTACATATCTGCTATTCCTTCCCCTTATAAACTAATCCTTTTGATTTATGTGCTTTTTGATAAAAAATTTTCATTATTTTTTTAAATGCAAAAAACAAATTAATTCTGTATAAATTTAAAAAATTACTATTTCAATTATTGGCACCTTGCTTATACTTTGGAGGACTGGTAAGAAAGTCATGAAGAGCTGGTATTTTTATTAATGAAAACTTTTTCCATAAATGGTCTACTTTTTATGACTTTCCTTTATTATGTATCAAAGTACCAGTTTTTAACCAGCATTTTACATCTATTTATTTAGTACTTTAAATAATGATATTCAACTGTATCTTTCCCTTTCATACCAACTATTTTGACTTGTGGATTTTTGTGCTATGTGCAAAAAAATTTTTGCTTACTTTTTTTTTTAAAACTGCAACAGAAAAAATTTAATTATGTATAAATTTCTAAAATATTAATTTAGTCACATACGATCAAGTATTTATACAAGTATATTAACAGTACTTACTAAGTAAGGTACTCAATTTTAATAATTAATAAAACATTTTAGTGTTATTTCAAATAACAATAAAATATGGGCTTGGCATAAGTTTTTTAAGCATAATAGAATATTTTTGCCATAAATTAGTATGTTTTTGTCATTAATCAAATTTACTATGTTATAAGTAAAAATGATTATTTATGTATAAACATACTATTACTTCGAATAAACTTACTCCCTCAAAAGTATATTGAGGATAAAAATTGTAATTTATCTCTTTAAAAAGTATGTTTCATAATACTTTTAATTCACCTTTTAGGTTGTAAAAGTTACTAATTTATTACGTTAACTTACTATTTTAGATGATAAATTTACTTCCTTATTTTTACGCATAATCCTATTCAAGTTGATAAATCCAACAGGTAATCAAATGGTTGTTAAAATTATTATAACCTATTATATCATATCTAAAACTGTTTTTTTACCATAACGATAGTTACTACTCCATTTTCCCACATGTTTAAGCTCAACACTTGGTACTAAATTTATATATGTATATAAATATAATGAAGGCTTGAATCCTTTCATTTACCTCCACTTTTATTTCTTCCAAATTATTATCCCCCACGCGTGTGCGATAATCATTTATTATTTCTTAAAATTTCGATATCTTCTTTACGCACATTTTTTGTTCAAGGCATTTGCAGTATTTTTTCCATTAATAATGGGTATATTTGCAAATACATAAATGCCTCTGGTTTTAACCTGCAATAACACTTCCTGTCCCAACCTACGAGATCATACGGAAGTTAGTGTGCTTTTTGGTTGCATCCGCAGACGATTCTCATATATTTCCTCTCCACGCGCTCTGCAACAATTTAACGTTTCCGTTTGGACTGTATGCAACTCCAACACGTGTCGCTCTCTACCGGCCTTCCTATCATAGGCAGGTTCCTACCATAAAGGTATCCTAGCTTAAAGGTCAAGAATAAGGATTGGTTTGAATGAATTATATGTCATGTATTTAAATATGTATTCGTAAAAAAAAAAAAAGATAAGGCAAAAAATAATTTTAGAGGGAATGACTAGTGAGGTTGGTTGTTGAGCATAGGGATGCAAATGAATCAAGTCGATTCGAGTTTTGATCTAATCGAATCGAGACTTAACATAATTTTGTAAAAATCGAATTTGAAATCAAGTTTGATGAGTTCAAAATGTCAAGTTCGAGGTTGAGTTAAAAAAAATAAATTGAAAAATAAATAAAATAATATTTTTTCTTAACAAATAATAAAATATAAGGGATATATATATAAATTTACTATTAAAATAATATATATATATATAATCGAGTTCGAATCGGCTTACGAGGTAATGAGTTCAATATTTTTGAACTCGAATTCAATTTAATTAATTCAAATTCGACGTTGACCAAACTCGAATCGAATTCGGACTCGAGCTACTTTGCTTGCAGCCCTAGTTGAACTGATGATACTAGTATTAATCTTAACATTTAAAAACATGCTAGATAGTGAATATATAGGAAAAATATTGGAAAAATATCAGAATATTTGCAAATGTTAAGGACTATATCTGCAAATTCACCCCCACTAAAAAGTCCCAAAAAGACGAACGGTCCAAACTTTACTGGTCCTTCTCGGCCGTCAATCGTAATTGGCTCAATCAATCCTCTGTCAATTTACCCTAATATTGGTATTAGTTTCCTCATTGAATTTCTGCAATGAATTGTATGAGAGCTCCTGATGTTTAATTTAGCAAAGAAGGGAAGATTTTGCATCCATAGTACTACATCTTTACATGCGCATTTGATGGGATCTATTTACTGATTTCATTCTTCTGGGCCGGACGTAGTGATTGAATTATACCGGAAGCTGGTGGTTCAAGGGCTGACTGCTGAGGCCATGTCGTTCATGAAAGGAGATTTGCTGACGAAAACAAAAAAGCTAGTCAAAGGCTTAGCCAAAGTTGAACCCCTCTGGCTTAAAGCTATGGAGCAGTGAGTAAAATTACATCCTTTTTGTTTCGCTTATAGATTTTCAACTTTTATTGTCAAAAAGAAAACTGGGATTTAGGTAATTAGTTCAAAGAGTATAAAAATTCAATCATTTCATTCCAGAACCATTTGCTGATTGATAAATCTATGTAATTTATTATGGGTAATAAGTAATGTTCCCTTACACACATATAAACATGCACGCATAGGCACACACTTGTGTAAAGTTTAAGCCTTTTTGAGTTGAAGTGTGTATTAGATGATTTTCCAGTCTGGTATTATAAGGGATGATATTATTTGTGTTTCTATTTGAATGGGAAGATAAATAAACATATGGTAGAGGATCACTTTTTGTTTGATGGGGTATTTAACTATAGTCCGTGACTTATTCTATACAATGCAGGGCACCTCCGGTGACGTTTCCTCGCGCTGAGGGCACGATTAAGCCCATGAGTCTGCCTGAGGATGTTTACATCAAGAAGTTTTATAAGAAGTATCCTGATTCCAAATATCAGGATCCCATCAAGTATGGCTTTCTGTCAATTTTTTTTTGTGTGTGTTTCAGTACGTGTTTGGATACAACCTTGTTGTTTTATGTTGATAGGAAGATGGAAAAGGTTGGGGAGAGGGTTGGGCTAGGGGGAAAGGAGGATTGAGAAATTATTCTTTTCTGTTGTCCTGTAGTTGGGTATCATTTTGCTGCAGAAAAGTTCAAGGGAATATTCTAGTGGAAATTCAATCTGAGTTTTTGAGTGATGGAGATCCGAGGTATTGTGAGTATTGAGAGAAAAAATTTGAGGTTTAGAGGTCCATGCTGCTTCTTTTGATTGAAGTTGGTTTTTCCTTTCTGTTTTGTAATCTAAACAATCTAAATTTTTATCAATCTATTTATCTATGTTGATTGGATTATGCTTCTGGTTTTTATAATGCTGTGTCTGGATTTTTTATGGCTACATTCATCTGCAAAATTAATATGTCTGTGCCAATCGTTTCGGAATTCTGGAAGCCAGATTTGAAGAGATTGAGATATAACTGCTTTTTAACAGCTTGTGCTTGAAATGAAAAGACATATGAAGGCTTCTATCGCAAAATGCGGGTGCCTCATTACACCTGTATTGCTGGATGATGCAAAAGGAAGAGATGAACAACCTAAAATATCTGGAGTTTGATTATTGAGTAGATTTTAATTGTCAATCGAAGCTGTATTGCTGTCAAGTTTGAATTTTGTTTGTCCTTTAAAAGGTGTAGTTGAGGTTTCATTTTTGTCCTGCAAGTCAAAATTTGACTCTTTCTTGTTACTTAACAGAATTTCTGGTTTCAATCCACCTCCAGCCCGACTATTTGGCTGGCGAGTACTAGAGTTGACGGAACAGGGAGTCAGTGAAGAAGAAGCAATGGCTGTGGCTGATGTATGTTTTTGTTTCATTTTTTTTTTGGGTGAATTTTGTTGGTGCTGCATCATATTAAGCCCCTCACTTGTTCTCTGGTGTTTCAATTTTGTAACTGTTTATCCAACAGATGGAATATCGGTCCGAGAAAAAGGCCAGAAAGGAGGCTTATTCTCGGTTGAAGCAAATTGCAAAGCTTCAAGGAAAGAAGCCACCGCCTAATCCATATCCAAGTGCTATCAAGGAAATACAGGCTAAAGAAAAGAAGTTTGTACATGACCGTTTCCATAATCCTGAGACAGTTAAACTTGCGGAGAAAATGAGGGAGGAGAGGGCTGCAGATTGGCAGAACAGAAGAGGTGCTGGTGACTGGTGAAAAGCTGGATTCAACTTTCATTCTGCGACGTTAGTTCTCATGCTTTAAAAGAATTGACTGACCTTGGGATTACACGGCTTAGCTAGACGAGGAGATTTTCTCCATTGCATTAGATCGAAGGTTGTGTTTCAAATTGGATCGGTTATATACATGACTGTATTGATAAAAGTCTCGGGAATTTCTTGTTAATCCTCCTCGGCTTAGTATTACATTATTGTTGTCATGCTTTGGGAGTAATAAGCCAAAGTAGTTTGGAGCACGAATATAGGCTTCATGAGTCGTGAATGACCTTACGATTGACAATTCCGCTTTCCTGATTTTGGATTTCTGCTCCGGCTGGATGATCCTTTAAATTATCCCGTTCGATTATTACTTCTCTCAAGAAGTCTTTCTTTTTCTTTTATTGATGATCCCTTGAGCAACTTTGGTAAAAATCAAGCCCTGCATTACTTACTCTTTCCGGGTTGATTTGGTTAGATGGCCCTAACTTCTTAATCAAAACTGAATGTTAATTTCTTGATGCTGATCGGAGTCAATGGTACCTTTCTTGCTGGAGAGGGCAGAGCACCACTCTGATAATCTATCTATTCAAAAAAAGATGGCTTCCTTGATCACTTTATTCACCAAATTTAAGTCTTATCATGCCTCCTTTGATTGAGCTTTACCTCTTTTTCCGATCTGTAAGATCTGAAATATCTTCACTTTATTTCATTTTCTCCGGAGTCTCTGGTTGCACATCTCCTTTTTCGATATCTGTATAAACACAACATAACATATTTGGGAAGATTTAATATTTGTGAGGCAAAAAGATAACTGAAATGTATCCAGGAACGCCCTTCCGGTCTCGAGCGCCACAAACCTCATTCCCACACATAGCACGCAACCGCCAAGCTGTCAGCTTTTTATTGGCTGTTGAACTTTCTAACTGATCTTTCATTACAATCTCCTCAAGCTCTCTCTCTGCTTCCATCCCTCCGGCAATGGGCTCTACAGCCACAACAGCAATCTCCAGCGCCAAGTCCATCAATGCCCTTTCAACTTCAGCCAACAACACAAAAATAACTAACTTAACTACCTCGACTCCAACTTGGTCTCAGACTAAATCAAAATTACCTGACTTTTATGCCTCGAGCAGCTTTCTAAACCACTTAAAATCCAAAAGTCCCCAGCTTAAGAACAAAAATTCGAAACTTTTTCTTCTTCATTGCTCCGCAAAGCCAAATACTGACAGAAAAAATGCAACAGATGATAATTTGTCTCTTCGGTCCGGTTCAAATTCAACAATCCCAGAACAAGCAGCAGCATCACCTACAAATGAAGGGCTTTCATCATTTTCAAGGGGTTTGGTTTTTGATTTGGGATTGAAGGACTCGTGGGATAGTGCTGAAATTGGCTCCCCTGTTGTAAAAAGGTTCATTGGTGATGAGGAAGAGAGATGGTACATGTGGTACTGTGGAAGGTCAAATGGGAAAGATTCCATTGGATTGGCAGTTTCAAGTAATGGGATTCATTGGGAAAGAGGTAACGGGCCTATTAAATCAAGTTCTGATGTGGGGATGGTCATGAATTGTAGTGATGATTGGTGGGCTTTTGATACTCAAGGCATTAGGCCTTCTGAGATTGTCATCATGTCTAGTGCTAAGGTTAGAGTTAACAATTCTCTTTATTGGCTATACTACACTGGCTTTAATGATGAAAAGATTGAGCCTTTGGATAATTCTGTGGCGTTTAAGTTGAGTGATCCGAAAAGGATGTATTATAGGTCATTGCCAGGTTTAGCAATGAGTCAAGATGGGAGGCATTGGGCAAGAATTGAGGGGGAGCATCATAGTGGAGCTCTATTTGATGTGGGGTCAGATGGGGAGTGGGATTCCCTGTTTATTGCATCTCCAAAAGTTGTTTATCATGGGGCTGGTGATGTGAGGATGTATTACCATTCTTTTGATGCTGAAAAGGGACATTTTGCAGTTGGGATTGCCAGGTCAAGAGATGGGATCAAGTGGGTAAAACTGGGGAAGATTATGGGAGGAGGGGGAAATGGTATGTTTGATGAACTAGGAGTAATGAATGCTCATGTCGTTAAGAATAGAAAAGATGGGAAATATGTGATGGCTTATGAAGGTGTTGCTGCAGATGGCAAGAGGAGTGTTGGATTAGCTGTTTCTTCTGATGGGCTGAAGGAGTGGAGGAAATTTCAGGATGGTCCTGCGCTAAAGCAAAGCGAAGAAGATGGCTGGGATTGGGAAGGGGTAGGATCACCTTGTCTAGTTCAAATGGACGGGGATGCAGATGAATGGAGATTGTACTATAAAGGAACTGGCAAAGGGGGAAAGACGGGGATTGGTTTAGCAGTGTCTGAAGGAATTGAATTTGCTAGTTTTCAGAGATGGACAGGGTTTCACCTGTGACTTGTCAGGCATTTTCTCCCCTGCTCTTCACCATATGAGGGGGTGAAAGATGACCTTTGCCTTTGGTTCAAACATGTACCTTACTTCATTTGTAAATCTGGTACTACAAGCTAAAGAGGAGCAGTCAGGCTCGTGGCATCAGGTCTTGGATTTTTATTTTTTTTCCCTCTGGTTCCTGCAATTATTACTATTATTTCTGATTATATGGCCTTTATATAGGATTCGGTTTCATGATCTTTTATTGCTGCTTTAGTTAAGCTATTTGGAATGGCAGCACTTTGCTTCAAAAAATTGGCTGTCCTTGGGATGTTTGTTCAATGTTGTAGCACACGATTGCTTTGGTTTTCTGGGTAAACAATGCGAGAAACATATATATAGTCGCCTATCATTTTCTGTTAGGCCGAGAACAGATGGTGATCATGAACTCACCAGACACTCAACCACATATTTCAAACTACAAAAATGAAAAGTTGCTAATTAACACATTCTTGATGATCTTTTTTTTTTTTTTGTTGGGAGTTATTTTAGATTATTAATCATGTGTGTTACTGATTTAGTTTTCTCATATCCCTTTCTCCTTTTTTTTTTTTTCCTTTCAACTCATCTGCTTTCTCATTGGCTTTGGTGGGCCAGAGGTTGGAATGAGATATTGCATGAAGACCTGACTTGATTGTGACAACCAGGTCCAAACTTACGCCTATAGGCCTACAGAGGATGGTAACCCAAATCAGATGATGTTCGAAATTGGTCCAAGCTCTGGCAAGTAGAACACGGCAGAAGCGAATAACTTTTATAGGCCAGACTTGTGAATAAGTCACATCTACCGCCGTATTGATTTTTATTGGGCTTGCGAGGGGCCAATTTTGGTTGTCAGATAAACTCATCATCATCCTGGCCCAGCCCTTGGAAATGGCTCAAACTCAAATCTAACAATTTAGATCTTCAATGTCACAAACTGTATTTCTGTTCTAGGGTTATAAATTAATCTAATCACGTTGAACATCTTAGTATTTAAATATGTTTAATTATTGTGATAAATTTAAAATTTTATTTAAGTTTAACTTGTTTATTTGCTGAACCAAAGTTGAACACCTTTTTTTTTTATCGGATTTAAAAGTTATCGAACATAAAATGCGATGCAAGTTTAGCTTGACTTATTGATTGACCAAGTTCGAACAAATTCTTATCAAGTCGAATTTGATTCGAGTATTCATTAGTTTGATTCATCTTTCAATACACCTCTAGACAAATTAGAGACAACAAATGACCAGTGTCAATACAAAGCCGTACTCTCTGAAGTTACATTGAAGGTTTTAGTGGACAACAGATGGTACAACTGACAAGATACACGAACAATAATTGAGGAGGCGTCAGTCGGACATAAACATGCATTCATGTTATAAACTGTTTCGGTGTAAAGTTAAACGAATACTGAAAATCTTTAAGATAGAGACTGGCGATGGTGTTACCATTAATTATGAATCTCCAATATCTCCCCCCCCCCCGGGCCCCCGCCCGCCCGGTGAAGGGCGAAGCCAACACAGTACTGTTTCCACAGGGTGAGTAATGCTCACGAGGCGAGAGAGTATACAAACTTCACATAAGTTGCCATTACAGGTATAATAGATACATGATTGTGTTCTCACAGATTTCTGCCCTTTAAAAATAAGTAATCAGGAATTCATCAAAAAAAAAAATTTTCTAAGTAAATGAGAAAGCAGATGAGTTGAAACTTAAAGTCAAATTATGTTTGGACAAACCATTTTTTTCGATGTATGTCGTATATGTAAATTTTAGAAACTTAAAGTCAAATTATAATTAATTGTCGTGAATTATAGAAAATTTATGCTAATTATAGACGTGGACTTTCTTTTTCCACATTTCTTCTTCTTTGCAATTTGCACACATTGACAAACATAATCAACCACGCGAATGTATTACCATGCACAATTCACATAACACAAATACAACATCAACATATGCATATATTCCGAACCCTCTATTTTCTCCTCCTGACTTGGCCATGCCAGTATATTGATTCTTTTATCCAAAGAGTAGGGCCAATCAACAATTAATGCTATTCTAATAGCAGTTTTGGAGCAGAAGAATGGAGGAGGAGCTTGGCATCTTCCGAAAGAAGAAGACGTCAAGAAGAAGAAGAAGAAGAAGCAGAAAAGTAAAAAAGAAGGAAGGGAAATTTGAGAAGTTAAAGAAACATGGCGGTAAATATAACTCAACCAGGTGTTTTTTTTTTTTTTTCGACACAGGGGTGTTCGGATCAATTCTTACGGGGTCCGACTAATCTCCTGCGGCCCGAGTCCGGCGTCCCAACCCGACCTAAGCACGATAAGTGAGCGGAGAAATCCAGCAAAACAGAGACTCGATCTTGGGACCAAGTGATCACCAGTGGGAGTTGCTACCGCTGAACCATTCACGCGGGGCTCAACCAAGTGTTTGCTTGAACAGAGATTGGATTTAATCGCCACCAAAATCCCTTGTAGGAGAATTCATGCACTCATTAAATGTCACAAAACCTACCAAAGGCCAACATTCTGCAAATGCTAGCCCTAGCAATCAGCGATGACAAAACACATGCAACCAACATTACCACTGTAGTTAGCCAAACAAGAGTGTTCAGGACGAACGTCACGTCACACAGATAGCTTGTGCAGGCGGGATAAATATTGGGACAAGCGGATTAAAATGAACCACATTCTCCAACAACAAGCACTGTGTGTAGTAACAGTTACCAGCATTTTTAGTGTTAGTGTTTGCCTTGAAAAAAAATCTATTAAACTCAAGCACTATATATGACTGTATTTTAATTTTGACACTAGATCTTATTTATGGTATCATTGAGATCTTAAGGAGGATCTATTGAACAGCGATGATGCAGTCACACTACAACTACTCTGAATGACGTCTGTGTTAAACCAAGATACGGTTGGCTTTTCCAGTTGGCAGTAAAACTATCCATCATGCCTACATTTTAGATCACCATATCCAAGAAAACATTTATGTCCGAAGATAACATTACATTATACGTCCGATAAGATGATACAAAACAAAGGTAAAAAAGGACCATTGGACCAATGATTAGAAGTGAGGGTGACATCATAAGTAAACCGAATAAAATTAATGAACTTCTGTGTGAAGTACAATCATAGGAGGCTAGCTTTTTTTTTTTAATATATTTTATTTTATTAACTAATTAAAATTAAGGATACAAGGATTTTGAGGAGGGGCCAAACCTGAACTCAAGAGCTCTTTGAAAAAAAAAAAAAAATCATAGGAGGTTAGCTAACCACTCTGGGGGACTACATAGCATTGTCCGCACTGCGTCATATTAAAGAATAGGGCATGTCAAGTTATAGACTCGGTTAATTTCACAGAAATTAGAGTTTCTGTTTAAATCAAAGCAGTGGCTCATTAGTTCTAATGTTGATCATTTAATTGGGTCTGATTAATTTGTATTAATCCCACTATTTTGGCTAACTTGTACTATGATTAATAAAATATGGATTTAATGGTGCCCTTAAAAGCAACGTGAAAGGCAATCTTAAATTTGCTGCTATATTACAATCACAATGGACTGGGTAGATTTCTCCAAAATAGCATGTTGAGTGGGGAAGTCAAGTCCCATGAATGTCAAGAAATCTAATGGATCAAGTTCCTCACAGGTTACTAACTAGAAATTTCGTAGTAGTATTCGTGTATATATATCAACCAAAACAAAAAATGTCTTCTGTTTGTGCTCATGATTCTAAGATCAATTAGATATCTTGTATAGGCCGCATTGTCAAGCATTCGGCTTTTGGAACCAGTCCTATATATATCGTTTTAACTTCTTGGTAAGACAATGAAAATTGTATAATACTTGCCAACCAAAATGTAAGAAGATCATGTCTACATCAAGTACAAAATAGTTACTAATAATTAAAAGATTAAGTACTATATTGAGTAATGTGGCTTTATTTTGATGGCACGGGCTATAGAAGCTTGGGTGTATGATTTTAGCGATTTCCCTGCACAACGAAAAATACCTCAAATACTCGCTAATTATTCCTAATCTTTCGTTACACTTCTTCATTAAAATTTAACCTAAGTAATTGCTCAATTGAAATAGCAACATCCCTAAAGCTCAGTGGTACGTTATAGTATCACGTATTCCAACAACACATCAAAAAAATGGCGAACCCAATGCAGAAATCTCCTCATTGACTATATTGTTCCAATATTTTTGGTTGTCTTCAAGATCACCACCCCACCTGTAACCAAGACTCTGATATGATCCAGTTGGGTTATTGTTTGAGTCATCGATATCGGCATCCGCGAATCCTTCCATGAAACCTGGAGACCTTAAAGAGAATTCCATAGTATATGCACCACCAACGGGATCAAAATCACATTGAACGTTGACATCATGATTAAGCTGCATCATGTTCCCCGTTGTTGACTCCATTTTTTCTCCAGTCACTGCTAGCGGGTCATTGTTCTTTGGTGTATCCAAATACTGCCAAGTACTCGTACCGGTTGCTTTCATGTCCCGCGCTTCGCAATTAATTGTCGAATTAAATGGTAAGTTTTCTCCAGTTAGACGAGCAGCACTTGACATGGCGAATGTGTTATCTGAAAAATGCAATGTAGAGGTTGGAGACTGAAGGCTTCCAATGGCAGTACTGAAAAAGCCATTGGCGTTCTTTGTTGTTGTCCATGTCCTTTGCCATGCTTTGAGTATATCAAGACAATGAAAATAATGCTTTTGTACCATTGGCTCCAATGGTGTTACTAGTGGTGAAGCTAATGCTTTTGCTAGTGGTAATTGAGCTGAGGCTGGAGGGCTGAGATGAGAATGATTAAAGGCGGTGGACAACGACAGCAGTTTGGACTCGCGAACAAGCCTGGATTCTGCTTCAAGACGAGCACTCTCCCATTGAGCCATGTGACTGAGGTTGGCGGTGTCTTTTTGGTGAGCAGAGCCGAGGGCGTTGGTCTTTGGCCTATGAGTTGATGGATCAATTCCCATCTTGGTTAGTCTCTTCTTCAAATGTGTGTTCCAGTAATTCTTTATCTCGTTGTCTGTCCTCTTTGGGAGGTGAGTTGCTATGGCTGACCATCTGTATCAATATCAACCAATATAAAGAATAAGTGCTGTATAAAAAAAAAAACAAATCTGAGTAATTACTTTTTCACCTGTTAAAAGTTTTGGCAAAGTCACTATCCATCTATAACATAAGGATGGATATACCCAAAACTCAGGTCTTGTTAGGATTGCATTTTTTTTTATAGAAAAATTACTGTAATGATTTAATATATGAAAAATAAAAAGATAATTCGAAAATATATTCACGAAAAACGTAACAATTTGAAATTCAAATTACTGTCCAAACAAGGCGTTAGTGTTTGAAAATTGTGTAATTTTCAAAATCACAACGTCCACCACTTCGCAATTTTAGAGAGATACTTGTGGTAAGCATTTCTTAATGAGTTTGCTCGTTACTAAGAAAATTTCTCAAACCTTCAAAGATAAAAAAAAATACCAACTTGTATAGAAACCGGTGGGTAAAAAAATTCCTTTTTACCGGTTTCCAAGAAGTGCATGGAGTTGAATAATGGTCTGATCTTCTTGCGAACTGAATTTTCCCCTCTTGATATCAGGCCTTAGATAATTAGTCCACCTTAGTCTGCAGCTCTTGCCACATCTCTCCAGCCCTATTCACAACCACATTGCAAAAGTTTTCAGCACAAAAGGAAATTAAAGGAAATTCAGCCCTACGTAAGGTGACGGGTGCAGGTAGATGATTTACCAGCTTTTGCTGGGAGAGCTCGCCAGCTGCTGTGGCCATGTTGTTGTTCGATGTAAGACAAGAGCTTTTGATCTTCCTCAGGTGTCCACGTCCCTTTCCTTAATCCCAACTTCTCGCAGCATGGTGACCTTCCCATTTTTAGAGCACTTATATGGAAACTTTCTAGCCAATTCCTCACAGAAGTGGATTCTAATCTAGCCTGTAGCTAGCAAAGTGAGGAAGACAATGTCCAAAGTGAGGAAGTGAGAGATATATGGAGACGTTGCCTTAGTGCTTAGACAACACAGCGACAATATATAAGGCAAAGAATTAAACGCTCGACAAGACCGAGGCGTAGCAAAATGTCGCGTGACAAGTGGGAATCCAGCGCCACAACTGACTTGACGTAGCTATTTATCTGAATGAACCAATGCTGATAATACACGCACACTTGATTGCGGTTTTCGCCGGAAAATTACATCATTTTTCGTGATCATCAATACTTTACATCGTTTTTCGTTATCATCAACGCCTTGCTATGTGATAATGAATGGGTTTTTTCATTGAAAGATTGACTAATAGATACTTCTTGTTATAACATATCTTAATCATAATCAACTTATCATATGATTACATATTAAAAATTATTATTTTTCTTACATAAATATACTTTTCTTAATTAACATTTCTTTTCTGAAGATTTAACTTCTTAATTATCTACATCATCTTACCGAGTACTTATTAAGCATCCGTAGGCAGATGCACAATAAATATATGATACAGGCACAAGTAGTAACGTAATTAAAGCAGGCTAAGTGATTCTAAACGCATGTTTCAAAAACTGAGAATCGAAGTTGCAGAGCAGAAAAACTGTCACGTACATCTGGTGTTTGATATAAATTGTTTTATATTCAGATGTATGCGAAGTGATAATCGAAATTGACTCAAAGCCAATGCGCCTCCGCAAACCCACAAGAGCTAAACGGTGGAAACCCTTTTCCCTTTTTTGCTCCGTGAAGCAATGAGAAGCCTACGAGGCCATCTTTGATCTTTGTGGTCTAGGTGCATCAAGAATCTAGCCAGTGCAGGATTACGTACATATTGCTATGACAGAACTTCCAGGCAAGCTTAGGTGGTAAGTCAGGTATGGACTCGGAAGGTGACGTGACAATCATCATCCTAAATATTGGACATAATCTACAAACTAAAACAGTATTTACTCATACTTCTATGATAAGTTTTTTTTTTTTTTTTTTTTTGTACCTTAACTTAAGGATACAGGACAAGGGCACCCAAGAAAAAAAAAAGCAGGAAGGGATAGACCCTCTATGAAAACTCTGAAATTATCTCCTTCGATTGCATACATTTTTGCAGGCATAAAATTACAGTACCCATATTAAAAAAATGTAAGTATTATTACAATAACAATGTGTTTTTTTTTTTTATTTTTAGAAATCAATCTTTGCTATACAAAACTCAAAGCGAAACATCTCATTGCTTAACTTCCGAAGCAATTCAAACAATGACAGTTGCTAAGAAAGCTGTCTCCTAGGGTCCGTTTGGTTCACAGACTAGATGAGATGTAATGACTCATCCTCAGATTATTAATCCTGAGTTGAATCATCTTTAGATCAACAATTCAAATTATCTAGTGTTTGATTGGTTCTGAATTGGACATAATATGTTAAAAAATAATACTATCCTATGTTTGATTGGAGATAAGATGAGGTAGAATTACTATTTTAATAATCAAAGCACCCCTTAATTTGCATATTTTTTAATAAAATAATTTAATATTTTATAAAATATTAATAAAAAATTCAATAAAAAATTTAATATTCATAACTTTTATTAAAATAGAGTAGTTTGAAACTTTAGAATTATAAAGTAAATCAAGGGTTTTGATATATAAAAATTTGCATTCACTTAAGCTCAACCCATTTGGTCCCTTAAAAATAGATTTTGACTGAGTTTTTAAACCTAAATTTGAAATCCAATTAAATAATGGGCCAAGTTTTGGCTAAGTCAGAGTTAAATCAATTAAGACATAACCCCTTTAAGAGTTTTACATGAGCTAAACTCAAGCCAATATAGAAAACTTTTCTTTGGACCGAACGTGAACTTTTTGAAGTCCTCATTCACACAACCCAATTGATAGAATTGTGTATTTATATAGAATTTGGTTAAGAAAATAATCTTAGTAAGGGTAATTTAGTCCAAGATCAATATAGTCCTTTTATTATGATGTTAGTATGGGCAAATTAGTCAAAATTTTAAATTAGTCAAATGGACCATACTAATTAGGGATAAATTAGTCAAAAATTTTAAAATAATGGGTCGGGGCAAATTAGTCAAAAAATTTAATATAATTAGTATGGGTGAATTAGTTCATTTATTATTATATTATTATGTTAGAGTATAGTTATATAATAGTCCGTATGAATCTGTATCATTCACAAGGGCAAATTAGTTTGTTATGTTGGTAGTGAGGGTATATTAGTCAAAAAAAATTTAAAATTAATTAGTAAGAGTAAATTAGTCCATTCATATTATATTATCGTATGGGAGTACAGTTATATAATTATGAGAGTATAAATTTATATTATTTGTAAGAATAAATTAGTTTAAAATTTTATCATCTTATCTGTTAGTTATCCTAGAATGACTGATACCACCTCCTCCATGGAATTATTTTATTCCATGAATAGAGGATTAATTTGGTTACTTGGGATGTGTTATTTCATATGTAAAATGCAACCAAATATAACATGACACGTGATGATTAATTCAATCTTGTGTCATCTCATGAACCAAATGGATCCTTAAAGTATTATGTTCCGTAAGTATGTCTCATTTGCTACATCAACTATAGCTTATAAATTTTACAGAGTGTATGTCAATTTAGCCTTTCAAATGGACCAAAATTAATGTCAAGCATCCACATGAGAAAGTCTCAACATCTCAAACAGGCAAAAAAAATCTCAATTAAGTCTCTTGAACAAGAAAATTTATACTAATTACGCTATTCAGAAGGGACTGGCAGAGTGGTTTTCACAGAATCATTGAAAGGCTAATTAAATGGTTTATTGGTGATCAAAGTTTTGTTTAGCCAATTTGGCTTTGCTAATTTTGTTGATCAGCCTAACCAAAGTAACATCCAAGTGGTTCTAGTCAACTCAAATAAACAGGTGTTATTTTCGAGCTGGTTATTCATTTCTTGGTTGAACGTTTTATGATTAGTCTCTTCAAATTTGACTGACAATTTAATGGCACTAATTTGGCTATAACAACTCAAGTTGGACTTATCTACAATTGGGCTTTATTGTTATTCTTTTTTTTTTATAAACTATATTTCATTAATGAAATTTCCAGAAAATAGGTAGGAGCATAAACTGAAACATTCTGGAGCTACAAAGATAGTTATGAAATCGTTAGCACCGCATAAAAACATTCCTCCTAGAGTAGCTGTTAATACGAATAAGAGAAACGTTGCTATTCCTGGATCCAGAGGTGAATATGTTCGATGGAATAATTTCTTAGATGTATTACTGCATCCCCAAGGGTTAGGTCCACTTTTTACAGGTCAGTGGAATCTTTATGCTCAAAACCCCGATTCAGGTAGTCATTTATTTGGGACCTCTCAAGGAGCAGGAACTGCCATTCTAACGCTTCTCGGGGGATTTCATCCGCAAACACAAAGTTTATGGCTGACTGATATTGCCCATCATCATTTAGCTATTGCATTTATTTTTCTCGTTGTTGGTCATATGTATAAAACTAATTTCGGGATTGGGCACAGTATGAAAGACCTTTTAGATGCACATATTCCTCCGGGGGGACGATTGGGACGTGGACATAAGGGTCTTTATGATACAATCAATAATTCGCTTCATTTTCAATTAGGCCTTGCTCTAGCTTCTTTAGGTGTTATTACTAATGATAGAAATTAAATCACACATCCGAAAAAACTAATTAAAAAAGTTTTACTATGAGCTCCAAACATATTCAAACATCAAAATAGAACATTATAGCCCCATGTTTGTTTTAATCCGTCAATCTCGGAATACTCCAATTCCAGAGAAATAAGTACATTTTCTTTGTCAGTTGGGCTAGGATCCCACTCTTATAAAAGAGAAAATGAAACCTCAATAGCAAATTTCACTGATTGGGACAAATGTTTAATACCAATTTATTTTTCGAGCAAATGCCTATAAAATTCTACCCCTCCTGCTCGTACAAATACGGGTGCAATTGCTCAGTCGCTATCCTCCTTCAGAGCACCGTTACCAATTAATTATTTGGTAGATAGTTTGGATTTATACATTCAATGGTAGTAATAATATTGGCAGCAAATGTTTGGTAGTAAAAATATTGCCAGCAAATGTTCATTCGCTATCGTCCTTCAGAAAACTACTGTTACCAGTACATTATTTAAGTTCCCATTTAGATTGCTAGCTTTTTAGGAAAAATTCTTGAAAAATTCTCCTGACATGTTTTCTTAGTTATATATTTTATCTCAAGTATATCACATCTTTAGAGTTCATATTTTCCTACTAGAAAAACTCTCAAAAACGAGATGATTGCACCGTGTAATGAAGCTAATCAGTAGCGATGACCATGCATGCATATTTTTTACTACAGTAATTATTTAGGAACAAGCATGAATTCTTACAAGATTGTTCTTTTTTAATTAGGCGAATCTAAAACTTTTGACAAATAAACCTTGTCAAATCTACGGAGATAGAAAAGTTTCAGTGTCCTCTTTTAACGGCGGGCTGTTATTCTATCAATTTCTCACATCTGGAAATTCTGATATTGTTTGCAGTTCAAGTTGTACAGTGGCTGGAGAGAAATGGAAACTTATCTGCTGTTTGGGATTCTGAGCCGTACGTACTGTTTTGCATAGTATATAAAATTATAAATATGTTTCCTGTTTAGTCTGATTGTTGTATTGTGTGTTATTACAAGCATACATGCCCTGCTATCCTTTTTTTTAAAATAAATAAATAAATTTGTTTCTCTTTTGCGTTAAAGGAAAGAAACGAAAAGAAAAAGATATCTGAGTTGTAGAATTGGAACTAAATTTTCACTAATGCTATTTACTCAATCCTCTAAAATCTATTATGACCATTTGGTCCTTCAAGTTTTATTTTAGTT